TAAGATGTGTTTTCCCTAAAATTACATTCTAAATAAGAACATCATAATCTTTTAACAGATTGTAGTCAAAGTAAAATAAATTTTAAGAAAACCTGATGGTAAAAATCTTTTCAGCAGGAGTGAGTTCACTCTGACACAGGAAGGCAAAAATTACCACATTAAAATTATTTGCTAATTATCAAGCATGGCTTTGTAGTCCCCAAATTCTGAAAACAAAGTTATTACAATTTACTTTGGGATTGTCTGTGTTTGTAGTGCCAAACAGCAATTCTTTAGAAGAGAAAAAATAAGTATAACTTTAAAAAAGTTAGGACTAGGGGCTGGGGATGTGGCTCAAGCGGCAGTGCAATCACCTGGCATGCGTGCGGCCCGGGTTCAATCCTCAGCACCACATACAAACAAAGATGTTGTGTCCACCGAAAACTAAAAAAAGAATAAATATTAAAAAAAATTCTCTCTCTCTTTCTCTCTCTCTCTCTTAAAAAAAAAAAAAAGGACTATCATTCTAGAATATATACATACTTCAAAACATCATGTTGCACATGATAATACTGTTTAATATAGAATTCTTACTAAAAAAAAAGAAAAAAGAAAAAGCTGAGGGATGTTGCTCAATGGCAGAATAAGTATCTAGAATATGTGAGGCCCTGGTTTTGATCCATAGCACAGCAATTAAATTGGGACTAACTAGATCAGAGGCCTACAGAACTTGTACTCTCTACTTAGAAAATAAATATTATTAGATACTTCTGAGAAAAACAACAATATATTATCCATCCATTTATCTGCTATCATTATGTGAAAATCTTCAAAAGCTAAGGGAATTATAAATCAGGTAAACATAAGGACTCTATTTGAACAATTTTACCCATAATCAAGAGTAGCACAGAAAAACTTAAGAAGGCATTCAAGGGAAAAGTGTTAGAATCAAAGTAGATTCCCTCTCTAAAACTGGGCAAAATTAGTAAGAAGATAGCTGGTAATTATTTTGCCATCAATTTGTTTATCCCTTCCCTATGGCATGTCTCACATTGTGCTACAGAAGCTGTCTATAGATGCATCCTCCCATCTGACTCAAGGTGAGGAGCTGTGTCTCATTCTTTCTGTCCCACATTCCTTGGTACCTTATACATAGTAGCAATTGAAAAAAGGCTAAATGATATAAAGCCATATATGCATTAACTCCAGGTAATCAATTAGGCCCCAACTCATGAAAAAGCATTCATAACTTCTTTTTAGCTAATAAACACTGAGTAATCTGATACTTGGGTATTCGTTTTTGCAAAATTTATGTTAAGTGAATTTTAAATTCTGAACAACATACCTATGTTTTAAATGTATTTTTAAATATGGTAGTAAGATTTTGCTTGTTTATTTTTGAGACAGTGTATTGCTATATTGCCCAGACTGACTGCTAACTCCAGATTGATTGAGTCTCCTTCCTCAACCTCCTGAGAAGCTGAGACTATAGGCCCTATGGCATGGAACCTGGCTCTATTCCTTGATCCTAGGGATTGAACCCAGGACCTTGTGCATGCTAAGCACGCAGTCTACTACTAAGAAACATCCTCAGCCAGAGACATTTAAAAAAAAAAAAATACAGAAAATGACTGGTTTCACTATGTAAAACACAAAACTAGATTTTGTTGGTATACTGAACATGAGGTGATTGGGTGCTGATGTCTGTAAAATGTTTGCTAACATGGCAAGAATATTAAAAAAATGAATTTAAAACAGGCCTTGAAATTCTCCCTTGAAAAAGTTGTAATAGGCAAGCAGGAAACTTGATGTAAAATTCAGACAGGATCTGAGAAAGTAGAGTCTGTTCTCACCCCTATGGAAAAATTACTTCTAGCCTAGTCTGCATGATATTGCTGGAAACTGGAATATAGAATTGGCTCAGTCAATGAACTCACTGCATTACCCAAAGGAAATGAAGAAACTACCAAGCAGAGTGGGCCCTTTCTGGAATACCAACTGTTCCAGTTCCATCAACTCTCTGAAGCTCTAGAGCAGAGGGATGCAAACTCAGGCGCAGGGACCAGCATGGCCACCAGCAGTTTTTTTATTCCCCACTAAAATTATTTTTTCATTTTTAAATTGGGGGAGGGTCAAAGGAAGAATCATATTACATGACATATGAAAATAGGAAATTCAAATGCCAGTGTCCATATGTAAGGTTTTAACTGGAATACAGCCATGCTTATTTCATAACTCAATGTGGATGGCTGCTTTCAAATGACAATTATAAAACTGATACCTCACAGCTCACTGATCCTACAATGTTTACTATCTGCCCCTTAACAGAAAAAGTATGCTGACTCCTGGGCTGGAGCATTTCTGCTCCTAGTTGCATCTCTTTTCTCAAAGGCAGTCCACTGCTTCACAAGGTTGAGCCTCTAAGCTTGACAGGTGTCCATCTTGGGGCTGTGTTGTTCAAAGTTACAACATTAATATAATCATACAATACAGTACAATTCAATAGAGTGGGCAGAAAGACAAAGTAACAAGTTACTTGTACTAAGAGGCCCTGAAAATAAGGAGTATTCAAGTCCATAACAGGCAGCACGGACCTTTTACCAGACTACCACATCCAGTTCTGGGTCACACTTGGGATGGTGGTGGGGAACTACAGACAACTTACAGGTGGACAGATGATTAAAAGGGCTCAAAAATAAGACAACTAAAGAAATGCTAAGAGAAACGGAATTAATTGACCCAAAGAGAAAGGAGAAAGCACTGGTGTCAACACTTACAGAGTTGTATTGCTGATAGATCAAATTCCTACTGATAAAAATAATGGCAGCCTGAACTAATATAATACAAAACATATATATATATATATATATAAATATATATATATACACACACACACAGACACATATATATACATACATATTTTTTTTAATTAAATGTGATTTATGAGACCACCACTCCTGCCTCAGGCCATAAACCTTCCAAGATAATCAGTTGTTAAATATTGTACTCTAAGTATTCAACAGATGTATTTAGGAATGTTTCTTTTTCAGACACCTGGCATTGATATGTTACCAGGAAAGGTATGCTATTATTGTGCTAAGGTTCAGTAATAATAACCTAAATTTTATAGCCACACCTTTCCACAGAACCAAATAGAGGAAAATAGGCTTAAATTACAGAATGTATGTTATACTGAAGAATGTTCCAACTAGGGGATTTTAATTACTCTAATAGAACACTGAGAGTAAGGGAATTTTCTTCCAAGGCCACTTGTTCAGTTAGAATACTCTAGAACTATCTGGATGATTCCTTAAGGCAAGGAGCATGAGTCTCAAACACACTTCTTCCACAGCCATAATTCTGCAATGTTAATTTTCCCAGTTCCTATAAGTGAGAACTGGCAGCCACTGCTCACTTTCATTTTAACACACATACAACTACATTCTAAGATAAACTTTAACATCACAAACTCCAACTTGAGTATAACCTGAATTACAACTTTTTTAATTACAGAGATATGGAATATAATTCCATTAAGAAGATAAATTTGGAAAATAGGTCTAACTTCCAAATATTTCAATGTCCCGTTCAATGAGACTAAACTAATATCCTATTATTTCAAAATGTCCAAAACTTGAACACAGTACTCAATAAATGCTCCATGAAAAAAACAGTTTTGTAACTCTGAAAATACAGAATCCTTGAACACAAAATGTCCTTTGAATCAAGCTTAATGCTGCAATTAGTAATGCAAATTCTGAAATTTGATCTAAATACTGTAATGTTAATCAATCTGAGTTTTTCAACCTTGAGTTCTGAAATCTGTTTTTCCCTAAGAATGCACTCCTTTCGATGGGAAGCACACACTAATCTGACTCACTAAACTTTCTCCACTCCTACATCACCTATACAGGATTTTAAAATCTTAAAGTATATAATACTTTCAAGTCACTCCTACAATCTTGCGTTAACCTTAGCTGGACAAACTTTTCGCCAAGTCTGTTAATACTTTTTATTTAAAAACCTGTAGTAGTGAAACAAAGAAAACTCTGCCTCCCTCCCCCTTTACTAAACCATATGGCAGTAAACTGAAGTTAACTTATTTTTCACCAGTTCCATGCCAAATACATCGGCCCTAAACATTTGTCTCTTTGTACCCTGGGACAGGGCTGGAGTAGTCTTGCTTATTCGAAACTGTACCCCACGCGTGTTTTCAAATCGTAAAACAAAGTCCAAACGCCTCTGACCATTAACAGACCACACGATGGTCATCCACTAAGCCTGACTAGTCAGGCAGCGCACACCGGTGAGGGCCCTGGGAGTCCAGCTTCGGCAGGGTGACCAAGCAGGGAGTTTGCTCGCCGCGGCCGGGCCAGATCCGCCCAGGGAACTTGGTTACCCAAGCTCAGGGACGCGCCGAGGCCTAGCCGCGAGGCCGGGCGGGCTCCAGGAGGCGAAGACTTCCGTGCCGGGTCACAGAGCCTTCCCGCCCACCCCACGGTCGCCCGCAGACGGGGGCACTCACGGTCGTCTCTCGGCGACCGGACGCCCCCGCCGGTCTCAGGCCAGCTCCCCTGGCCCCTGCCGCCGCCCGTGGCCCAGCTCTGCGACCGCACCGGGCCCTTCCGGGGAGGCGGGAGCTAGGCCGCGATGGGGCCCGCGGCTCCGGGACCCGCCGGGCCTCGGCGTCCAGTACCAGTTCCGAGGGCTGGGCTCCCGCCGGTAACGGGCCCCGCTGCCTTCCCTCCCCCTCCCCCGCCCCATGACAGTGCAAACCCTCCGGCCGCCCCAGCCGCCCCGCCTCCGGCACCAGGCCCAGCTCAGGGCCGCGGCCGCAACCGTGGCGGCAGCGGCGCCGCGGCTCTCCGCCCTCGCTCGCTCGCAGCCGGGCTCTGCCCCTAGAGCCTGGTTCAGGGTCCGCCAAAGTCTCCGCCGCTCTCCGGCAGTCCTCCGCGGCGCCCGGCCCGGGAGGGGAAGGCCGAGGCCCGGGCGGTGGGGGTGGGGGCGGGAGCTCTTCTCACCTTCATGTCGGGACATCCTAGTTCAGACGGTGGCGGCGCGGCCCCTCCCGGGCTCCGGCTGCAGTGTCCCCTGCGGGGTCCCGGCGCTACCCGCGCCGGCCGGCCGACTCCCACTCGACTCCCGGGCTCGGCCGCGGGGGCGGGGTGGGCAGGGGAGCGCTCCCGCGGCGGCGGCGGCGGCGGCGGCGGCGGGGAGGCGGCGCGGGGCGGGATTGGGGCCGGGCCTGGCCGGGGCTGAGCTCCTCCAGGAGGCGGGTCCGACGCCGCGGCTCCGCCGGCGCCCGCCGTGACTCGGTCACTCTCGGGCCCGCGGGCTCCCGGCAGCGGCGCCGCGCTCCGCAAATCCCGCTCCTCCCCTTCCCCGGCCCGCCCCCCGCCCCTCTCCCCCGGCTCCCGGCCGCCGCCTCCTCCTCCTCCTCCTCTTCCTCCTCCTCCGCCTCCTTCCGCCGCCCGCACGCCGGCCCCGCCTCTCGCTGCCCGCGCCGGGCCCAGCCGCCCGCAGGCCCCGCGGGCGGCTGGAGGCGGCACGGCGGCGAAGGCTCGGGGCGCGGTGCTGCCCCGTGCTCGCCTGCAGGCCACGGTCGGGCGTCCGAACTCGGCCTCGGCCTGGCCTCCGCCGCGCCTCGCCGCGCGTAGAGGAAGAGGAAATGCCTAGCGGCGGACTGCCGCCGCTCGCCTGCGCGGCCCATGGGGCCCCCGCACGTCCCCAACCCACGCCTGAGGCCTGCCTGAGTCCATGCTGTAGGTGGCCCGCACTATCTCGAGGGTCGAGTTGCGACCCCTAGGGAGAGTGCGTCCCTTGGCGCGTGGCTGCCGCCGACCGCTGACCGCCTTTGGGGCAGGTGCAGGAGTTTCTTTTTAAGCCAGCAGCCGAGTAGGGAGGCTGCTGGCTGCAGTTGTCGGGTGTTAGGAGGCCAGGAGATTAGCGGTCAGAAGGGCGTGAGCGAGGGGGCGAAGAAGGGAAACGGCCGCGCTTGGCCTTTCAGTGGACACTGCTAGAGACTGTCCAGGTGTGCTTGTACCAGCGCCTCGGCTCACCATGAACGTATTACCTCGAAAACTTGGGGATTTTTGTCTTTTTTTTTTTGCCCATGAACAACTTTGCGGTTTTTATGTGCCTTTTCTACTTTTACCCTCTTCCTTATTGTCAACTTTGTTTGCAGACATTATTAATTCAACAAATATTGATAACTGCGCATTATCATTTGTCAGTGGTAGCAGAGCTTGGTGAAAGTAGATTTCGCCTTGAAGTTGAGGCCCATCGGCTGTAGGATTCTGGTCTAAATTACTTAATCTTTCAGAGGTTCCGTTTGTCTTTGTTTTGGTGATTATTTCTTGTTTCTCCGTTTGAAAGTTAGCTTTTTTATTTTGATTGGGAGGTTATGATGGACACAAAATAGAATGGGCTAAGTCAACTGAAATTAGGTCTTAGGATACTGCTTGCTTTGGAGTTGATCTTGTCTTGTCCGTCATTCACTAGCTGTATAATCTGGATCAAATGACTTAACATCTGTCTTGACTTCCCTGCTTTTAAAAATCGGTATAATAATAGGTAGATGCTTAATAAGAGGTAGACGTTCAGAATATTTTATGCTAAGATGTATATAAAACATCCAGCACGAGAGACAGTAAAAACAGTATTTTGTTGAACCTGATTTTAAGACACTTTCTTATTTCGAAGATACTATAAAGCTCATCTTAAAGTCAAAGGAAATAGACATTAGGTTACTCCTATCTACTCAGGGAACTGTATTTGGTAGTGACTAGTGATAAACAAACTAGGATTTAAATGAGAACTTTATCACCAGAAGTATTTCCACTGCATGTATGGAGCTTTACTCAAATGCATTGTAGCACAGCTTTTGGAGAAAGTGATCCAACTTGGCCATAAATGGGGTTTGGTGGGGTAGAAAGAGCAAGGCTTTATTTAAAGAAGCCTAGCTAACATTTACTGAATGCTTACCCTGTGCTAGTACCTTTTTAAACATTTTACAGTATTTGCATATGTGATCCTGGGTACCTTTCTCTTAGTAGTCTCAATGTCTTGGGCTGTTAAAGTGAAGATAGCTGTCTTGATGAATAAATATGTCTTTACATAAATTATGTAAAGGTTTAGCCATTATCAGTTTTTCAGATACAATGCTATCACAGGTAGGAAAGCCTACAAAAAAACTGAACTTAAGAAAGGAATAAAAGTAAGTATAGAACCAGGCTTAGTGGCGCACACCTGGGATCCCAGTGAGGCTGAAACAGGAGGTTGACAAGTTTGAGGCCAGCCTAGGCAATTTAGCTAGACCCTGCCTCAAAAAAATAAAAAGGGTGGGACACAGTGGCACAGGCCTGTAATCCCAGGGGCTTGGGAGTCTGAGGCAGGAGGATCATGAGTTCAAAACTAGCCTCAGCAAAAGCTAGGCACTAAGCATCTCAGTGAGACCCTGTCTCAACATAAAATACAAAATAGGGTTGGGGATGTGGCTCAGTGATCTAGTGCCCCTGAGTTCAATTTCCCGGACCAAAATAAAAAGGAGGGGGAGCTGGGAATGTAGCTTAATGATAGAGTATCCCTGAGTTCAGTCCCCAGTACCACAAAATAAATAAGTATAGAGATTTACTTTGGCCATGTTGAAGGTTTAGCTAATCCTGTTTAGAGGAGCAAACAAATACAACTTTGTCTAAACTGCCGGGGAATATCACATCTTTGACAGTTATTTCATTGTTTTTATTTACCACTATTTGGCACCAAATGACAGTTTCCAAAAATTAAATCTAACTTAGAGGTAATGCAGAACTATATGATTGTACATTATTTAAAAAAAAAAAAACAAAAAACTATTTCATTGTTTTCATTCAGGCAAAAGTAAGAAAAGGAAGAATGTGACCAAAAAGTCTTTTTTCCTGTTTGAATAACAGCAAGCAAAAATATGATTATGTGGGGTTCCATGCCCTTTATTAATTGAAAGGTCAGGTTCTTCAATTTAAAGCAATTGTCTACTTGTTGTCCTGCCATATGGAAATTTTTGTTTCTAAAAGATTTTTTTAATTAACCATGTTGGAATGTGATGATCATTACTATCCAAAGTTTGTGTATGAAGACAAGAATTGGTGTGAATATATTATGTATACAACCAGAGATATGAAAGATTGTTCTCTATATATGTAATAAGAATTGTAATGCATTCTGCTGTCATATATAAATTTTAAATTTTTTTTAAGAATTAATTTAAGCCCTTATACCAAATCGTCCACCCACTGATTTTTGTTCCACTCTAGAAGTGTTTTCCATAAATCCTTTCCTCTCCCTGCTCTTTCTTGAGTTGTTCTTCTGTTGACAATTGTGACTAATATGTGTCCTTGCCTGGCCAAACTGTTTGTTTTGTTTTGCTGGTACCAAGGATTGAACTCAGGGGTGCTTTAACACTAAGCCATAGCTCCAGCCCTTTTACTTTTTAATTTGCAACAGGTCTCCCTAAGTTGCTTAAGGTCTTGCTAAATTGCTGACGCTGGCTTTGAACTTGAGATTCTCATGTCTCAGTCTCTACCTCCTGTCACTCGCCTGCCCCACCCCCAGTTGTATTCTTTAAAAGGAGCAAATGCATGTAAACACTGTAGTATAGCTGATAGTAGTGCATCACTGTCAGTTTTTTTTGTTTTTCTATAGTTTGTAAGATGTTACTATTGGGGGAAGTAGACACGAATTCTCTAACTTTCTGTGAGTGTATAATTATTTCAAAGTAAAAAGCTATAAGGATAGAAGTCAGATCAATGATTACCTGCAGGACTGTATTGTAGAAAGAACTCTTTTTGTGGTGATGAGAAAATATTTCATATCTTGTTGTGGTATTGTTTACATAACTGGATAATGTTTGTCAAAACTTGTACACCCAAAAAGATGATTTTTTACTTCTTGTAAATTATGCCTCAATCAAACTGATTTTTAAAAAGAAAAACAAGGGCCACAGATGTGACTCAGTGGGAAAGCTCTTGCCTAGCATGCATGAGGCCTTAAACCCTAAACTCAATCCATACTAATGCCAAAAGAATAAAAAAAAAAAACGAAAGAAAGCAAGCTCTTGTCACCCCAGGCTCCTGGAATAGGATGCAATATAACTTCCTATATACGGCCCAACATGCTTTTCTAGCTGCTGACTTCTTGTGCTAGTGCACCCTTTGCCTCTACATTGATTCCTGGGTTGTTGCAACTGCTCTTCTGCTTATAGGCAACACAGGAAATTCACGCCCTAATTCAAGATCAAATTTCCTTTACTTCAGTAATCCTTCTCTGCCTCCTTAGGCTCACAGGTAACCCTGACACTTCCTCATTTGTGCTTGTTCATTTTTGTTTTTCTCTTTCCAATTAGGATCCTCCAGGCAGCAACCACAGAATTCACCAGTCTCTAGGATCCAGAAGTGTTGACAAGTGAGTAAATGACTGAATGATTTAGAACTGGGAGAAACCTTAAAGTAAGAGTTCTCGAGTGTGGTTTCAGAGTAGTGAGGTGTTAGGATTTTCATACTTCAAGCAAAGAACATGTCTCAATTGAATGCAGAAGCAGATAAGACCCACCTGTGTTTAATTAAAGTCAAGAGAGATTTGCAAAATGGAAAAACAATAACACACTTCTATTTTTTTAAAAAAATGTAGTTATTTTTCTTAAAAAATATATTAGTAAATTGGACTTAGTGATGCATGCCTGTAATCTCAACTACTTGGGAGGCTGAGGCAGGAAGATCACAACTTCAAGCCAGCATGCCCTGAGACCCTGTCTCAAAAAATTTAAACTAACATGTCCTGGGTTGAATCTTCCAGTACTTCAAAAAAATTTTTTTAAAAGAGGTCATTTTTAGGGCTGGGGCTGTGGCTCAGTGATAGCACACTTGCCTGGCATGTGTGCGGCACTGGGTTTGATTCTCAGCACCACATATAAATAAAGGTCTATTAATAACTTTATATATAATATAAAAGGAGGTCATTTTTAAAACTGGAAAGGGATTCTGAGCCCAAAATGTTTGAGAATCTCTTCCTCACAGACTCTTAAAATTCCTCTTGTTCAAATGAGAAATGATAATGATTCTGACATGTAAGTAATACTCTGGTACATATAGCAGGCCTTGAGATAAATGCTATACTAGTATCTTCATTTTACTGATTCCTCAAATAAAGTACTGAGAAGTTAAATTGGCTTGCCCAGGATTTGACCTCAGTGGACTCCATCTAGATGCCCTAATGTTAACCACAAATTTCTTCCACCTCCCTGAGGCCTGGAAAGGTTCAAAAAGGCCTATGCCATCTGGTTACCTAATCACCTCTGTGTTCTCTCCCAATTTCAGTCACCGTAAGGTCTTAAGTCATTGAGGCCTTGAATTTGCTTTACAGTTTTCATCCCGAATTCTTCTGAGTGTTTTTAAACATTACCTTGCTCAGTTGGTAGAGTGCTTTTGTGTTGCATGCACAGGTCATGGGTTCAATCCCCAGTACCATACCACCAAAAAATAAATAAATAAATAAATAAAAGTAACAGCTACCTTCCATTTTTTCCCAGTGCTCCCTGAGCAGCACATTCTCTGAAACTTGGAAAAATTCAGAGTGGATTAGCATCAAGGATGACACACAAATTTATAAAGTACTTAAAAAAAAAAAATTGCAGGCTGGTGGTGTAGCTGCATGGCAGAGTGCTTGAATAGCACACATGAGGCCCTAGGTTTATAATCTAGCACTGCAAAAGGAGTAGGGGGAGATACACACACACACACACACACACAGATTGGGCTGTTAGAAATCTAGAGGATTTAACAATAGTAGGAACCCAGGACCTCTGGACCATTGAGCCATTGAACTGGTTTTGTTTGGCATTCATACAGGCTCTTTTGTCCCTCCCCACCACCTTTGAATCCAGTGAATACTATGCAAGTACTCTACCACTGAACTACATCTTAAACCCTTTTTAAAAATTTTACTATGAGACAGGGTCTCTCTAAGTTACCAGGCTAGCCTCAAACTTGAGATCACCCTGCCTCAACCTCCCCAATGTCTAGAATTACAGGTGTGTGTCACCACACCTGGTCCCTTCTCCTATTCTTAGATTATTATAAATCTTGACTGCTTGTCTCCAGCTGCTTTCCCACATCCCCAGAAGATCACCAGACCTTCTAATTCATAGAGGGAAGAAAATCCCAAAGCAGAAACTTCTTCCCCTTCCTGCTATGAGCCTCAGAAGGAATCTATTCTACTTTCCCAATCCTCACTTCCATCCCAGAAGAAAGGAGATGTCCTTTTTCTTGTTTTGTTCATTTGTGCTTATGATCCCAATTTATCCCACCTTTGGGCTCTTGCTCTTACCCACCCTTTAAGTAAGTGTATTTTGAACCACTTGGCTTCTACTGGTTCATTTCCTTCAACCAAAAAATACTTCTTCAATCCTATATTTCCTCTGGTTGTTGCCCTGATGTTTGTCTTTTTAGAAGAGCTTCTTGAAAGAATTGCCACTCCTCTTCCTCAGCATTATATCTGGGTGGATATTATGGCTGAGACTTTGGTGCTGTTGGCCACTCTCTTTTCTGTGATGCCAAACTCATCTCTTATGAGATGCCTCTATGCCCTATTGGGTTAAATGGAGTCTCCATCAACCTAGTTAATCATTCAAGATGAATCTGAAAAGGAGAACAATAAAATTTTATTAAGCGGTCTAAATTTTTAGCCAGGACAGGTTCAGCCAGGCATGTTGGTGCATAACTATAATCCCAGCATCATCTTGGGAGACTGAAGCAAGAGGATTGCAAGTTCAAAGCCAGTCTCAGTAAATTGGCAAGGCCCTAAGCAACTTAGTGAGATACTGTCTCAAAAAATAAAAAGAACTGGGGATGTGACTCAGTGGTTAAGCACTCATGGGTTCAGTCCCCAGTACCTTAAATAAATGGATAGTATTTTAATGAAAAGCAGTAAATTTCACCATGAGAAAACAAAGAAGCAAGAGGTTTCTGAAGCAGGAGAATTCTGGGAAGGAGGGAAGATCTGTACCCAGCATCCTATGTAGTCTGCTGATCCCATCTCTAGGCTGATCTGCATCAGTCTCTATCTGGCTTTGGTGGGAAAGTGGGAAGAAAGCAGAAAGACTCTTCTCTGAATCTGTCCTGACATCAAGCAGAGAAAGAGTCAGATACTTGATGTTTTTGAACTTCCTTCAGCTCAAAAATCCTCAGTATTTTGGGGAGAAATACTTTGATTTCCTACAAAACCCAGTGGTCATCCTACACTCTTGCATCCTTTAGCTAATAAGTCACCAAGTCCTATAAGTTTTACACATTAGATAGCTGGCAGCTCTGCCTCTTTCTCTATTCCCACAACCACCAAACCATTACAGGCCACTGCCACATCTCCTCATAATTAGTGATCTTAGTGCCTCACCATCAATTGTACTCCTTTCTGTGGCCCTTCATATCAATTTCAACCAGATTTTCTTTTTGACTATATTTTTTTTTAATTTTTTTAAATATTTATTTTTTAGTTTTCGGCGGACACAACATCTTTGTATGTGGTCCTGAGGATCGAACCCGGGCCGCACGCATGCCAGGCGAGCGCGCTACCGCTTGAGCCACATCCCCAGCCCTTGACTATATTTTTAAAAGCGTAAAAGTTATGCATTGGGTCAGGTGTGGTGTCACATGCCTATAATCCCAGTTACTTGGGAGGCTGAAGCAGAAGGATCACAAGTTCGAAGTCAGCCTGGGCAACTAAGTGAGAACCTGCCCCACATAAAATAAAAAGGGCTGAGATGTAGTTCAGTGGTAAGAGTACGTGCCTGGCATGTGTAAGGCTCTAGGTTTAATTTTTAGTCCTGCAAAAGCAAAAACGTTAATACATTGGGTTGGGTACGTAACTCAGTTGTAGAGCTCCTAGCTAGCATGGGTGAGGCCATAGGTTCAATACTCAGCACCATAGAAAGAAAGAAAGAGAGAGAGAAAAAGGAAGGAAGGAAGGAAATAAGGAAATATAACCCTACCACTCAGTTATCCAGAGGTAAACATTGGTATATTTTGATATATTTTCTTTGTACAGCTATTGTACAGAGAAACAGTTATATCATTCTTCTGCTTTAAGCCCTTTGATGGCTCTCCTCAATGCTCTTCCAGGTTATAACTCAAATTCATACTAAGGTTTGAATTCCCTATAAGATCTACCCCTGCTCACTTCTTCAATTCATCTTCTGCCACCCACCACATAATCAGTGTTAGGTGGTTTGCCCTGGCTGCAGTAGGGTCTCCTTTGTTTCCTGCCACAGGTCCTTTGCATTTGCTTACTTTATTTATTCTCTAGATCACTCTACTGCTTAAGGCAGAATTCTTTTCTGTCTTCTTCACAGGAACTCAGTAAATATTTAGTGAACAAATGAACATTTAAAGGAAGTAGGGGGATGGAGAGGGAGTGTACAGGAGAGATGAGAACAACCTGAACAAGAGCCATGAAATACCCTGAAAATGAAATTATCAGGATTTGGTAACTAAGTAAATATGGGGATGAGGGAAATAGGGACTCTAGGGTTACTCCCAGGGTGGGGCTGGAAACCCAGTGCATGATGTTCTATTAACTGAGCTCAAGTGTATAAGAGGAGAAGGGGTTGAGGTTGGGAGAAATGAGGGTTCCGTTTTTATTTATTAATTAATTTATTTAGGTGTTGGAGATTGAACCCAGGGCCTTGAACATGCATCTTACCCCTGAGCTATTATTAGCTCAGTTTTAGGTTTCGATTTTAGATACAGAGTTTAAGAAGCCTGTTTCATCCAGTAAAATTCAGGGGAGAATTTTATTTCAATTTGAATATCAAGATCATCAGCCTCCAGGTGGCAGTTAATACCATGTGAGGAGACAGAGGGTAAGAGGGAAATGAGTGTGAGATAGATGCCATTAGGCCATGGGACAAGCCCTGAGCAGTAATGATACTGGAGGGGTTCCCAGAGAAGAAGTCTGTGCAAAAGAACAAAGGTGCAAAAGAACAAAGGAAGAGGCTATGTTGGTCAAAGGAGCAGTGTTGTCACAACAGAGACATCGCATGATGTCTGTAGTATGGCCCCAGAAATTATCTGTCAATGGAGGAATAGGGTCAGAAGCCATGTTGCAGTAGACAGAAAGTCCAGAAAATCCTCTAGACAGAGAATGGCTAAAGAGGACTTCCAAAAGATGAATTGAAATTAGTGTGTGAAAGAAGAACACTTTTATCACTAGGAATCAAATCAATATGAGTTAAAAGGGGATATTTTGCCTCTCAAATTGGTAGAAAAATATTTTTAACAATAGTCAATGATAAATGAAGTTATCACAGAGAATATGAGTTGTTATAAGCATTCCAAAATAGGATTTCATGGTTTCAAGAGCCTTGGACTTTTGCCCATTTAATTTGTGATTTTATTTTATTTATTTGGTTTTTTTTATTTTTTTTTTTTTGGGGGGGGGGGTGGGGATTGAATCCAGGGATGTTCTACCACTGAGCTACATCCCTAACTCTTTTTTACTTTTTACTTTGAGGCAGTGTCTGGCTAAATTGGCCAGACTGGCCCTTAACTTGTGCTAAACTGGCCAGACTGGCCCCTAACTTGTGATCCTCTTCCCTCTGTTCCCTGGATCACCAGGATTATAAGCATGCACCACCACAACCAGCTTATGATATGTTTTTAATGAAAAAAGGATTTGAAACATGTACTTATCCTTTTCTAAATTATGTACATGTAGTGTGGGGCCATTTTCTGTTTCTTAACAAAGCAAATAAGTAAAGACTGATACATTACACTTGTATGCCAGATACTCAGAAGGCTGAGGCAGGAGAATGGCAGGTTCACGAGGCTAGCCTTGACAATTTGGCAAGACCCTGTCTTCAGAGGAAAAGGGCTACAGTGTAGCTCAGTGATAGCATGAGGGAAGCCTTGGGTTCAATCCCTGCACTGCAAAAAAAAGAAAAAGAAAACTGTAGACACCTGCCTCTGAACCATTTCATGGGGAAGGTGTGAGTTAGGGCCACTTCCAGTGCAGTCACCCTCAGGGAGGGTGGGGGTGGTCACATGTTAGATATTCAAAGTTCTTGAACACTCTTAAATCAACTGGATCCAAATCCCTGAGGATGGGACCAACCACCTGCATTTGAAAGAACATCCAGGTGGGGATCCTGATGATGGAATAGTTGGAGAACCACCCCACTAAGTGTTCATGATTCCTTTTACACTACTCCATTACTGCCAGTAAACCATTCTCTTCCCCAACTGGTCTGCTCTTGTGCTCGATTCTCATCATTTGCTTATTTCTAGCACAATCCTGCACTTAGCTCTCATAGTAGACTTTGCTTATTTGTGAAATTCATGTGTCCAAAATTAGAGCCCAGCAGTCCTGATCCACAGTTTGTCCTGTCACATGTTTTGACTCTGGAAACTGATGAATTCTTCATGAAGGCATTTCCTGTTTCAACAGTGACTAAAAATCATATGCCAGTAAAAAACCTCATACATCCACATAGAAAGATCCTGGGAAAAATAGGACTTAGTGGACTTGTTGCTCTAAGGAAGGTCAGAAAATGGGAGACATTTGAAAGTGAAGGGATAGAATACACGAGGAATGGATGCACAAACAAATCTGCCTGCAGCAAGTGTCTATTCTAAATGTGTCAGTCAAAGTCTCCCCCAAACCAGTGAAGAGTTAAAATATAGCCTGGAAAAGAGCCCTATAATATAATGGTTAAGAAGGTGGTAATGACTCATTCCAGAGGTATAAGTGTGAACTATGTAGAATCCAGAAGGTGAAGTCATTAGGTATGTCTTGCCTGATGTGGTGGTGCATGCCTGTAATTCCAACTACTCAGGAGGCTGGAGCAGGAGGGTTACAAGTTCCAGGCCAGCCTGAGCAATTTAGCAAGACCCTGTCTCTCAAAATTAAAAAAAAAAAAAGTTGGCAGGGGAGCTCTTGGGATGTAGCTCAGTGGCAGAGTGCCCCTAGGTTCAATCCCCAGTACTAAAAGGGGAAAAAAAAATTAAGGAATTATAGAATCTTTCATACTCTACAAAAAAAGTTTATCGATCTTTGATTTTAGCCTTTATCACTATATTCTCAACTTGTTCTTGCCTCTTAACTGATACCTAAGCTTCTGATCTTTCTCTCATCCTGTTTTTCCTCTATTCTGCACTTGTTTTTTTGGTTTCTGTTTTATTGTTGTTTTGCTTATGTTGTGTTGTTTTGTTTTTTGTTTATTTTTTAAATACTAGGGATTGAACCTAGGGGGCACTTAGCATTGAGCCATATTCCCCAGTCCTTTTTATAGAGTCTTGTTAAGTTGCTTAGGGCCTCACTACGTTGCTGAGGCTGACTTTGAACTTGCCATCCTCCTGCCTCAGCCTCCCCAGCCACTGAGATTTCAGTTGTGTACTACTGTGCCTGGCTTCAATTGTTTTTTTAAAATATAAAAAATAGCCAGTTGTGGTAGTAGTGTATGCCTGTATTCCCAGTGGCTCAGGAGGCTGAGGCAGGAGGATCACAAGTTCACTACCAGCCTCAGCAACTTACCAAGCAACTTAATGAGATCCTGTCTCAAAATATAAAAAGGACTCGGGATGTGACTCAGTGGTAAAACTCCTCTGGGTTCAATTCCTAGTACCAAAAATAAATAAAACAAAAAATATAAATCCCTCTACAGAAACTTTGTTGGCTCCTCATTTCCTGTAACCTTCATATGAGGTTTTTAAGATTTGTCACAACCTGGCACCTGTCTTCATCTGTTTTGTCTCTTTCCATTCCCTCTCTTCTCTGTGTCCTGTACACCAGCTACAACAGGCCACAGGGCTAGGCTTGTACAGCTCTGCAACTCTGTACCCCCAACCCCTCACTGGAATTTCCTTTTCTGTGGTGTCTACTGTTCGAGTGTCTTCATCATTCTGAGCTTTTCTATAAACCCTGTCCTGATCTTCAGCTCTTTTCTTTTATATGTCAGGTTAAGATAAATTACACTGCTGTAATAATCACCTCAAAATCTCAGGGGCTTGAAAGTACAAATAAAACTAACATCTGAAGGTGTAGCTGAGTGGTAAAGTCCTTGCATAGCATGCACGTGGCCCTGGGTTCAATCCCTAACACCAAAAAAAAGGAAAGAATGAAGAGTCGCTTATAAGAAAATGCCTCACTGCTGGAGGGCTCAAAAAGCATCTTTGATTTTTTTTTTTCTTAACAACAGAAAAAGACAACCTATCATTTTCTTTCTAATATGCACATGACTAATTAACAGATAATTGTACTTTGACCTAAATCAACTGTTGTGGTTGGTAAGTAATAGTAAAAAATAAACTTCACTTAAGAGCGGGAAATCTGGGAAGATAAAGTCTTTATTAGAGTTATCCTTATATCTGCTTCTGCCCACAGCAACACCTGGGGCCCATTGCAACTTCCTGTGACCCTATCTCTTGAACCAGTGCTAGAGGCAGGGAACCAGGTAAGCAGTCTCAACTTGGGTGGTGGTTCTTCTGTCAGTATCCTCACCTGGTGTTTTTGTTTGCTTGTTTGTTTTTGCAGTGCTGGGAATTGAACCCAGGTCCTTCTGTAGGCTGGTCAGGTAATCTACTGTTGAACTACCACCCCAGCCTCAAAGCCACACTTATACCTGCCTCAGTAGATCTGTGGAGTTTCTCCAGGGTGTCTCCCCTCTCTGTTCTGAATACACTAACTCCAGCTGGACAGCTCTAGTCCTTGTCCTACCTGCTAATATTTGGTTTCTGCTCAGCTTCTACAGTGTGACACTTTTGAAAAAGCCTGCTAGGCTCACCTTAAGGTTTCTCCCATACTATCCTGCTGTCTCTTCAGCATCTATTATACAATTCACAGATTCACCTGAGTTCCAGCAAGCACTTAGGGAGCAGACTCTACTTTGTTAGCCCTGGACTAATCCCTGAGTCCTGTGTTGCTTTTCTGCTTACTGCTGCTTTATATTCTGGCCCTAGGGGCCAGCAGTGCTGGTACCGCCAATGGGCTTACATGTTTTTTCAGAAACCTTTGCCTGTGGCCTGGAGTATAATTAAATGGTAGAATGTTTGCTAATAGAAACTAATTTTTAAAAAATTATGATTTCTTGTCCATGATCCACACCTGGGTCCTGCTACGTTTTGCTGTCTTCATTGTTTGCCCTATGCACTGGATCTCTAACTCTTGAGTACTATTCCAGAGCACTACATCCTGCCTTTGTTCCTCCTAGGTACTGTTCTCCATCAGAACCCAAGAAACTGCCAGGCTTGGAAATGAAAGCTGTCATCATTATGTACTCCATCCAGATCTATTTCTCACCTCACATATCTCAGCCCCAGTCTGGTTTCATGTGCATGCCCAAGCACTCTTGATGTGGACCTCAATTAAATCTGCCTTGTTTCCTTGGGATCAGTCACTGTAGCACCATCTTCATGGAACACTAAACACTGTCATCTCTCTTTGAAAGCCCACCCTGATTTCTTTACTAATCCTAGTTCAGGACTGGTTCCTGCTTTTTTAACTTCACTTTGTTTCCTTCTTGCTGGTTCTGGGTGATTGTTTATAAAAAGTTCTGAATGTTCTTTGGATTGATTCTTTAAAACCCAGTGCCCTGTCCCCTCTCCACTCTCCTCCCCCGCTACTACTGCTCACCATTCTAATGCTGAGACCAGCTCTTCAGAACTCAGATGGCAAACACCAGGGACTACTGGTCCAGACGTATAAATAGCAGCTTCTCCTACCCAATAGAGTTCATGCTCATGTAAAGCACTTTATATGTCTATACCCAGAATAGTATCCGACCAAAGTCAAGTCTCTATAAGTGTTTCTTACATTATTCCAAAATTAAGGAAATGAAGCAGACATTCTCTCTTGTACAAGAATATCTTTGGAATAAAAAATTAAGACAAGTCACAAATGGATATAAGTTACTGGTATAACAGTGCCTAATTTTTAAAATAATTTTATTCACATAACTTAAAAGTCCTTCTACTAAAGGTTTTTAGTATATTCGTAAAGTTATACAACCATCCCCATAATCTAATTCTAAAACATTTCCATCATCCTGTATTCTTTGGCAGTCATTTTCCAGTTTCCCCTTTCCTAGCCTCTGGCCACCAACTAATCTATTTTCAGTCTCTATGGATTGCCTATTCTGGATATGTCATACAAATGAAATCGTACAACATGTGTCTTTTTGTATCTGTTGTCTCACTTAATGTCTCTAAGTTTAATTTGTTTTGTGGCATGTACTAGTACTTCTCATTCCTTTATGTGGGTGCATAATATTTTATTTGAGAAGGTGTACTTTGTTCATCTACCCATCAGATGATGGATATTTATGTTATTTTACCTTGTGGCAATTGTGAATAATGTTTCTATAAACACTTGCTGTGTCAAATAGAATTATATGTACTGACAAAAATGTCCATCAAGTTTTTATTTTTTTAAAGGAGAGACTATATAAACTGGGCAGGTTGGTGCATGCCTTGTAATCCTTATGACTCAGGAGACCAAGGCAGGAGATTTCCAAGATAGAGACCACCATCTACCTCTGCCATGCTGTTCAGGTACTCTCAGGCCCAGAGCAATGGAGTCAGCCATTTATGGACTGAGACCTTTCAAACCATGAGCCCCAAATATACTTTTCCTCCTCTATAATTGTTGTTCTTAGGTGTTTGAGCCACAGCGGTGAAAAAGCTGACTGAAATATATAGCAGTATATAACTTCAGCTCTTCATATACATTTTCATATTTCCCAGTATGGTTTGAAACTATACATGAATTCTGATCATTATTTTTCAGATCCATTGGTGGTTAAAGTTGAGGGGGCAAATGCTGAGACTTAATTGAGGAAGGAATGCTCTATTGGTTAATATTGTTCCTCAAAATTATTTCTTGTGGCTGTCAATTGCATATTACTGTGAGGATTGAACTGAGTATTAAATATGGGCAGTGTGGTATTTAGCAGCTCACACTATTTAGTGATAACTAATATTGAAGGTTTATTTGTTTTTTGTTTTGTTTTTTTTGGTACAGGGGATTGAACCTTAGGGGCACTTAATCACTGAGCCACATCCCCAGCCCTATTTTTGTATTTTATTTTAGAGACAGGGTCTCACTGAGTTGCTTAGGGCCTCACTGAGTTTCTGAGGTGGTTTTGAACTCATAGTCCTCCTGCCTCAGTCTCCCCAGCTGCTGGGAATACAGGCATGCATCATTGTACCTGGCTGCATCTTTTTTGATTTGGTTAATATGTGTGCCATAACAATTATTGAGCGTTTGGAATGCCATACCTCCTTATAGAAAATCAAACTTGTCAATCTTTCATGTGCTTGGTAATTACTAATTTCCTTTTCTTCTCTTTTGGGCTCCTTTATGTTCCTGATCATTCACGGTAGGTTGCTGATGGCTAGTGTCCATTTTTTATTGTCCTGTATCCCTGAAACATCCCTGCAGCATACCCTTTGGTAAGTGTTCTGGTTCTTTTATTATGAAAATATGATCTTTCTGTATAGCCCTTTACCCTAATGACTTTGACAGTTGCTCATATTTCCTCAGTTCCCCCTTGAGCCACACTGTCTGTTAACTTGAAAGGCCTTTTCTAAAGAAAATCTTTTTGTATAAACACATTGGGTTCATAGTCAGTAATGTCCACACTCATTGTTACCCATGATGATCATCAGCTAGTATAATTTTAAAGGTATTAATTTTGGGGTTGTTTATAATGCTGAACCAATGGAAACAATTTAACTCATTAATATGGAACTGGTTATATAAAGTATGATAAAATTATATGTTGCAGGGGTCAACACACTTTCTCTGTAAGGGTCGGATGTAAGCTACGGAGTCTCTGATGCAGCGTCTCAATTTTCCTGTTGTAGTATTAAAACAGAAACAATATATAAATTAATAAGCATCATAGCTATGTTTCTGTAAAATTTTATTTAGGAGGTAGACCATATTAGGCCTGTAGGCCATAAATTGCTGGACCCAATGTAATGAACTTTCACTCTATGACTATTTAAAAAAATCAAATAGAATTATATATATTGACAAAAATGTCCATCAAGTTTTTATTTTTTTACAAGAGAAACTATATAAGCTGGGCATGATGGTGCATCCCTTGTAATCCTTGTGACTCAGGAGACCAAGGCAGGAGATTTGTAAGATAGAGGCCAGCCCAGGCAACTTAGTGAGAATCTGTCTAAAAATAAAAACAAAAAGATGCAGAGTGTGGTGTTGCAGTCCTATAATCCTGGTGGCTTGGTTTGGGAGGCTTCTGCAGGAGGATCACAAGTTCAAGACCAGCCTCAGCAACTTAGCAAGGCACTAAGCAATTTAGCAAGAGAGAGACCCTGTCTCAAAATAAAAAAGGGCTGGGGATGTGGCACCATGGTGAAGTGCCCCTTCATTAAATACCCAATAACTCCTTCCCAAAAAATAAATAAATAAACAATAAAAACAAAGAGCTAGGGATATTGTTCAGTGGTAGCGTGCCCCTGGATTTACTAACACAAAAGGAAAATAAGTAAATAAATACATACACACACATACATATATATATATATATATACATTTAACATATATTTAATACATATATTAATATATATATATTTAACATATATATATATATATAATTTGGTCAAAATTCCACATACACACTTTGTTTGTAGCACTGGGAACTGGATCCAGGGACACTTTGTATCTGATATAAATCCCCAGCCCTTTTTAAATTTTATTTAAGACCGGACTTTACTAAGTTGCACAGGCTGGCCTTGAACTTGAGATCTTCCTGCCTTAGCCTGTGAGTAGCTGGTACTACACATGTGCTACTATGCCCAGCCACATACCTATATTTGTATGGGTCAGAAAGAGCCTGAAAAGACACATGCTCAACTTTTAACAGTAGCCAGACCACATTAGGGCAGGTAGACACTTTTCCTTACCTTATTATTTTTTTTTTTTAATTTTTTAGTTGTACACAATATCTTTATTTTGTTTATTTTTATGTGGTCTGAGGATTGAACCCAGGGCCTCGCACATGCTAGGCAAGCGCTCTACCACTGAGCCACAATCCCAGCCCATCCTTACCTTATTATTGAATATTATGTTGTGAGAGAGCCTTGCCTTTGATATAATTAAATAAAATGCAACTAGGATTTGTTTTTGTGTTTTTTTGTTTGGTTTGGTTTGATCTCGGTACCAGGGATTGAACTCAGGGGCACTCAACCACTGAGCCACATCCCCTACTCTATTTTATATTTTATTTATTTAGAGATAGGGTTTCACCAAGTTGCTTAGTGCCTAGTTTTTGTTGTGGCTGGCTTTGAACTTATGATCCTCCTACCTCAGCCTCCTGCGCTGCTGGGATTACAGGCTTGGGCCACCATGCCCAGCTTGGGATTTGTTTTAAAAGTTTAAAAAAAAAAAAAAAAAAAAAGTTAGCCTTAATAATTATGTATATAAGCTTGTATTTTACATAAAATCTAAGAACTTCACAATTAAAATAACTCCCAATCATCATTAACAAAGTGACTATAACCTCAGCTACTTATGGCTTTAAATGGGAGTTTATTTATTTATTTTGTATCTTTTGGTGGCAGAAATGGGACCCAGGGGCACTTTACCACTGAGCCACATCCCCAACCGGGTCTTGCTAATTTGCTTAGTTTTGATAAATTGCTGATGCTGACCTTGTACTTGCAATCTTCCTGCCTCAGCCTCTTGAGCCGCTGGGATTACAGGCATGCACCACCATGCCCAGTTGTAAATGGGGGTTTAGACAGATTCATGGTCATAATAAGGGATATTTAATTGAAAAGTCAGATCAATGCCTTAGCTGGGAACCAGGAGCTGTATCTGGAGGCAGGTTCTGCAGATCCTGGGGACAGCCTCAGCAATGCTGTCATGTCAAGCATCTTTCTAGATCTTCAGGGTCTCAGGAATGTGCAGCAGCTTCCAGCTTCCTGGTCATTAACTGCATTTGCTCCTACCAGATTTCTCCTTTGCCAAGAACCCTCTCCAGGCCAGGTCCTAAAGCAGGAAGAGGACTCATGCACTTTCACAGCCATAGCAGGAAGAAAACTATACATAGATAAATACACACCACACACATGAAGGTGAGTGCCAGTGGGAGGGGTCTTGGTAGAATAAGTCACATTTGAGTCACATCTAAGTCACTCTGAAGCCTGAGTAGGAGCCTGCCACATTGCCCAAGGCAGGGCAGGAAATTCAAGCAGGCAGAAGTAAGGGATGAACAAAGACAAGGCTAGCAGTTACAGATCAGGAAGGTAAACCAGCAGAGTTTCCGGAAAGGGAGAAAGGAAGTCACATTTGAGTGCTAGAGAGATTTTTCTGGTGGTAGGGGAGGAGAATGTGTGAGGAAAGCAGTTAATGATTTCTTGTCCAGGTGAGAAGTTTAGGCCTTCTGCTCCATTATGGTGGAGTCAAGACTTTGCTTTCTTCACTTCTGGGCCATGTCCAAAGCTGCACCTTCTACTTCCTGTGTCCTCTCCCCTCCTCTTGGCATGGTCAGTTCTCCTTCTTTCTTTGAGTTTTAAAATTAATGTGTGAGCCGGGCATGTAGGCGCACCATAGTAATTCCAGCTACTTGGAGGCTGAGGCAGGAGAATTGCAAGTTTGAGGCCAACCTGGGCAATTTAGATGGTGTCTCAAAAGCTAAAAAGGATTGGGTATGTAGCTTAGTGGCAATATCGCTGGTTACCAGTGATGAGTTCTGCTTCCTCACATTTTGAAATATAACATTAAAGAAGCATGCAGAGGCAAGCATATAAAGCAGAATTTATTGTAAAAAGGGGTAACAGACTTTTCCCAGCAGGGAGAAGGGGGCCATAGCTGATACCTTAGTATCCAAGAAGCCAGGGTGTTTTGCCTTTTTATATGTCCTAGGCTTCCTTTGTTCTCTTGCTCTTTTCCCTTTATCTCTCTCCTTCCTGCATAGGTGACTAGACCCAGGAGATGCTCAGTGGGATGGCCAAAAAGTGAAAAGCTGATGGATGGGGGAAGGGCCAGATGGAGCAGCTCAGGACACATTAATTAACAACTTTATAACTCCCTGTAGGGAGAGACAATTCCTGGGACAGGTTACCTTAGTAACAAGTTGGAGCAGGGGCTGATAAGGGTGATAAAGGTGGAGGAAGGGCTCTGGAGGCATTTTAGTCCCTCAGGGGGCAGTCTCCGACTTCCAGTACTCACTCAAATTATCTATACTGAGTGCCTGTCTAATTCTGACTTCAGTGGTCGAGTTCTTCTGAGTTCAATTCCTAGTACCACACACATGCACACAAAATAATAAAATAAAAAGCTACGTGGGGGTGCTGGAGTTGTGGCTCAATGGTAGAGTACTTGCCCCACATGCGTGAGGCCCTGGGTTGGATCCTCAGCACCACATAAAAATAAATAAATAGATAGATAGATAAAGATGTTGTGTCCATCTACAACGAAAAAAATATTTTAAAAAACTATCTGGGGAGGTAGCTCAGTCTTGCCTGGCTTGTGGGATGTCTAAGGTTCAATCCCTAGTGCCACAAAATAAGTTAGGTGTGACCTCACTTAGAAAAACTCACTGACCTCTCAGATGGCCCCTGTCATTCTCAAGCTGAGTAAGGAACCGGTATTCTGGGCTCCAGAATGCTTTGTGCCTTTTCCTGTCTCTGAATCAATTCCATGGCTCTAGGATTGTGTTTTGGTTTCTTTACCATTATAATATGATTTTTCACTGGGCAGGGGCCAGATCTCACTAATCTTTTTGTTGTTGTTATTGTTGTTTGTTTTGTACTGAGAATTGAATCCCAACTCCCTATCCCTTTTTATTTTTTTATTTTGAAAGAGGAGCTAAGTTGTTTAGGGCCTCTCTAAGTTGTTGAGACTGACTTTGAACTTGCAGTCCTTCTGCCTCAGCCTCCTAAGTCACTGAGATTACAGGCCATGTGCCCGTGCCCAGTTCTTTGTGTCTTCAACACCTAGCAGAGAAAGTCTGACACCAAGAAGATAAGTAGCAAATAACTGTGACTGGATGAGTAAAGAATAGATGAAAATTTGAGAGAGATTTTGGGGGTTGAATTAGAATTGCTTGGCAAGAGATTGGGCAGGACTGGTGACAGGGTGGTGTCTAAAATGATCCCAGGTTTTCTGGTTTGGGTGCAGGGGATATTTACACTGTTTTTACTCATAATTCTTCTAATGCTGAGTGTATAGGATTTGCAGACTAATTGCCCAGTTCTCAGACACCAACTGAGTATCCAACAGTTCAGTTTAATTCTGATACTTTCTACCTAGAGTTAGAGTCAGATCCCACCAGTTAAAAAGGTCTGTCCCACAAGACAGCCTTCATTTCAGACACAGGTGACCAGTCTCATGTTGACATCTATATTTCTGACCAGCCAGCTATATAAATCCCTGGGTTCCCTTGACCATCCTTCTTCACATTCAAAAATGTGCTGGAATGGCTTACAAGACTCAGGGAAACATTTTAGTCATACTTATGAGTTTAAATGTATAAGGATATAACGCAGGAATAGCCAGGTGGAAGAGATGCATAAGGCAAGGTATTAGGCATTCAGGGCTTCTCTGTCATTTCAAGGCACAGCACCTTCATAGCACTTCAGTGTGTTCATCAACCAAATAGCTCTTTTGAACCTTATCATATAGTTCCCCCAGACCCTCTACTGGGGTGCTCTACCACTGTACTACATCCCCAGCCCTTTTTATTTTTTATTTTGAGACAGGGTCTCACCAAGTTTTGAAGGCTGCCCTCAAACTTGAAATCCTCCTGTGTTAGCCTCCTGAATTCCTGGGATTATAGGCAGGTACCTCTGCACCCCTGATATTATATATGGGTTTTAATGGAGGTTTCATTATGTAGACATGATTGATCAAAGTACTGGCTATTGATGATTAATTCAACCTTTAGCCCTTTTCCCCTTTTGGAAGCTGGGAGATAGGGCAGAAAGTTCCAAGTCTTTGTCAAGGCTGGCTCTTGCTTGTGGCTAGCCCCAACCTGAAACTATGAAGAACCCCCAACCACCAGTCATCTCATTTGCATGCAAAAGACACTTTCCTCATTCCTGAGATTCCCAGGGTTTTAGGAGCTTACATTTATCACTGGAGGTGGTAGTGCCATTAAACTAGGTGACAGATAAGAAGAACAGATATGAGAAAAAAGACTATTTCCTTCAGCTACCTTGTAGTGAAACAAAACAATAATCACTGTTTCTGGTTCACTGGGATGGCATCCTCATCTCCACTCTTGGACTGAGCTGACAACCCCCAAATACCTACAGGACTTGGCTTTTACTAACCAATTCCCAATTCTCTTCCATGTGTTTACAGTCTTGTGGTTTTCAGTGTTCTGCAGAATGCCTCCTTCTGAACTTCCACTAATTAGTGTCTTTGGTTTGTCCACTTATCTAGGGATCTTTCAATTACTAAAAAGAGGTCTCTCACCTCTACCCATATCTCAGGCAGCTTTGTGAACATTTTCTCATGTGATCCATTTTCTATATTCAGAAGAACTACAGAATATAGGTCAAGGCTCTTTCATGCATATAACTGAAAGCCTGGAATGCACAGGTATAACCCAAAAGGGAGTTTATTGGCTCACCAAACTGAAAATTCCAGAGAATAGACTTAACTTAAGGCATGCTTCCATTTAGGGATATAAATGCTGTCAGGCCCTGATTTTCACTCCTGATGACTCAGGGTCACTTCTTATCTCTCAACTTTATTCTCAGGAGGTTCTTCCCATGCAGTGCAAGGGGGGTCAGGGGGCTGCAGTTACCATAGACTGTTCCTTTTATGCTTAAATCAAGCCAAAAAGAGTAAGCCTTTTATCTATCTGTGCCTGCAACAATAGTCCAGAGAGTTGCTCTGATGTGGTTGGTAGGATTGTTTGTTGGCCTCTGAATGATCTCTAGATCAGGGACTGCTGCAGGCCTGGGTGGGGCTGGGGCGTGGATAAACCACAGATATTCACTAACTTGCTGAAATCCTCCCCTCCCAGGAGGTGGAGCTCAGATATTGCCAACAAAATTGACAGGACTACAAGTATGTGCCACCATGCTGGGCTCCTATATCTTTGCTACTTGAAGTCATCAAAGTTTCAGTGAGTCTGGTACATTGCAACATTATTGGGGGGGGGGGGGGCGGGGGTTAACCCTGGAGTGCTCTAGCACTGAACTACATCCCCAACCTTTCTTATCTTATTTTGAGATGGTCTTACTAAATTGCCTAGGCTGGCCTCAAACTTTTGGTCCTCCTGTCTCAGCCTCCCCAAATGCTGGGATTACAGGCCTGCACCACCTTGCCTGGCTCTCTTTTAGATACTTCTATATTGCCTGAAAATATGGTACCACTGAGTCATGACTCTAAGTCATGATTCTAAGACAGAAGTGATATCCTTGCTTTTTCTGTGTGGAACCAAAGGACTAATCACGTCCTGCTGGCTGAGTCAAGACTATCTACATGCCTTCAAGGCACAGGCCCTTTTTGTTTCCCTCCACCCCACCCACCCCAACCCAGTACTGGGGATTGAACCCTCTAGTGTTCTACTTCTGTTCTACTTCTCCCGCCCTTTTTATAAATTTTATTTTGAGATGGGATCTTGCTGGCCTTGAACTCGGCACCCTCCTGTCTCAATCTCCTGAGAAGCTGGAATTATATGCATGTGCCACTGCTCCCAGCTCTTTTAGCTATTTAATAACTAATCTCTGGGGAAATGCAGGTGAGGGGGAAAAAAATCCCAAATATGGAAAGGTTGTAGAGTCAATAAATCTCTTAATTATAGCTTTAATCCTTAAATAGTTTACAATTATTTTTCTTAATAAAACCTAGAAGCCTAATTTATTAATTTGTTATCTCATCTAACACGCATAAAGGCCCAGTGTTAGTTCTCTAGAAGCTCACAGACTCACTGAAAATTTGATGACTTCAAGTAGCAAAGATATAGAAGCCCAGCATGGTGGCACATACTTGTAATCCTGTTGATTCAGGAGGCTGAGGCAGGAGGATTGCAAGTTCAAGCCCAGTCTCAAAAGTTTGAGACCCTGTCTCAAAATAAAAAGGACTGGGGATATTGCTCAGTGGTAAAGCACCCCTGGGT